GTGTGCCGCTGTTAGAGCACTGCGGGTGTAGCTGCCGGCTGTGTGTGCCGCTGTTAGAGCACTGCGGGTATAGCTGCTGGCTGCGTGTGCTGCTGCTCTGCTCTTATACTCATGTTTCTGCTGTTGCTATGTCAGCCTCCCTGTTTGTTTTTTATCTGTAGAGTAAATCAACCGCAGAACTAAAATCTATGTGTGTGTACGTACATGTGTTGAAATGCAATATTGCAAATAATACAGGCAAAACTCCCTCTCCAGCCAGTATTGCGCAGCTGCACATTGTGGTCAGCACTCACGTCATCTAGAGAGGATCTTCAGAGTTTGGGAGGATGTGCCTAGACCTTGTGCAACGCCAGGCTACACCATAGATTCACTCAGCCTGGGTTTGGGGTGTGGGGGGACATTGCTGCTTCCCAGTGACAGTGGCTCCCGCTTTGTCCTGTTTACGCTGTCAGCATCTGTGGAGAACATGATTTCTCCTGCTGAATTTATAGTATAGGTGGGAAGATAAAAAGTATAGATCCTGAAAGATTGAGAATAATACAAATAACAGTGGAAAATGTCAAATTTATATTTATCTGTGAGAAAATTGTGAAGACTTGACTGTTTGAATAAAGAATAAAAAGTAAAAAAGGCCTAGACCATTAAGAAACAACGAGCGTTATGAGGAAAGCTCTGGGTTCTATATGTTACTATACTACTTTCAGCTAAAATTCATTAATATTTATTCAGACCTTTTCTTTGGAGTGGAAATCTTCAATGGCTCAAACCAGAGTATGGTAAAGCATTTCTGGGGAAAAATATTTACATTTAAAACATACATATAATCACAGAAATATACTCCCCCCCCCCCCTTTAAAATACAACCCTGCGAACACACGAGGTTCTGTGCTGTGGCGGGCAGACCTGACTCTTCCTCAAAGGTGGTGTCATCCTCACTGGGGTGTCTGCGTCTGCCCCTGCCCAGTCCAGTGTGTGGTTGCAGTGACAGCAGTGCTAAGTAGGCTCAAGTGAGCTCTTTCAGAAGGATAAACAGGAGTTTTAAAGTCGTCTGATATTCGCACCCTGGTTGACCAGGGTGGAAGGGGACGTAAGCGTGTGTTCGAAGGCATTGCCTCATTTTCTTGCTCAACCTGGAACAAGGATTTTATCTTTTCTCACTTTTAGATTGTTCCTCAGCTTGGGGATGATTCCTGTGCTGAGTGTTGTAGTTTTTAATGAAAGTGAGTATTTGGATGTACTTCCTGAGCATTTGCTGCATAGGTGTCAGTTAGCATCGTCAGAGTCTCCTTGTGCCATTTCTGTCCAGTACAGAGTGGTAGAAGCACTTCCTTTCTTGTGTTGCCACCTGGAGTTAGGCTTCTTCACACTTCCCGAGAGTGCCAGGGAGCGCACGATGACAGTGCCGACTGAGCACAGTGGACAGCTCCCTGAGCTTACCAAGTTGGTCTTTAGGGCAGCGTGTGCAGTCAGGTGGGGTACAATGTGCCAGTGACTCAGCATGGGCCTGCCTTGTTAGCCTGAGATTTCAGGTGTCAGTGACAGTGTAGGACAGTGGTCCTCAAACTATGCCCGCGGGCCACATGTGGCCTGCTGAGGACATTTATCCAGCCCGCTGGGTGTTTTTGCCGCCGCTGCCTGTCCTGCTTAGCAGCCGACTCGTCCCAAGCCCACAGTCTGGTCCTCCAGTGGTCTGAGGGACAGTGAACTGGCGCCCCTGTTTAAAAAGTTTGAGGACCCCTGGGTAGGAAGTGAGCCAGCCAGGAGACTGCGAGCAGAGCTGTCCCAGTCCTCTGGTGGATTGGTGTGCACGAGTGAGTAAACCGCTGGGGGTGTCTGCGTCTCTGTGGTCTCGGCTATGCCTTTGTGGCCCACACAGCTGTCTGTCTCCTGTGGCACAGGCAGGCTGGCACTGACTGTGTGTGTGTGTTCTCAGGGTCCCTTTCTTGTTCTTCCCAGCTGCAGACCTCTTCACGGACTTAGAAAATGCATTTCAGGGGAAGATCGATGCTGCTTATTTTGAGACCAGCAAATACTTGTTGGATATCCTCAGTAAGAAGTACAGCCTGCTGGACCACATGCAGGCCATGAGGCGCTACTTGCTTCTCGGTCAAGGAGACTTCATCAGGCACTTAATGGATTTGCTGAAGTAAGAAACTATAACTACCTGTTTGGATTTTTATAAATATATAACATATTGAACATGATAGAGTCTTGCAGTTTTGTTTGAAAGAATAAGTGACGTTAGAGGAAAATGAGTTGAATTCTTACAGACCACATTTCTAAAATGAAATCTGAAAAGATAAGGTTGTTATGTTTCCAAAGTTAAGTCCCTTTGTTAGCAAAGCATCCTGGTCTCGTACTGTGATTTATGCATAAGACAAACTTGCTTTTAACCAAAACTGTGGCCCTTACCATCTCTTGGTATAAGGATTTCATGCTATAATTTACTTTCACGAAGTTAATCTGAAAGTAAAATGTGTATCTTAATTGAAATTTTAGCTCCATATTTTTAATGTTGGTTCATGTAAAGACAAAACCCAGCCCCTACCTTTTCCATTTTGTTTTCTGACATTTCTTATAATAGCATCGGCCCTTCCAGAATTAGATGTCTGTTCTCCCTGTCCATCCATAGACATGGGCGGTTCTGGGCCAGCACCTGTTGCGCGCCTGAGTCTAGAGACAGTGTAGGGCCCAGGGGTGTAGCCAGGGCTCCAGGCAGTGCTGGCCAGTGAGCCCACCAGGCGTGGCTGTGACATGGTCTGGTGATTTTTGCTCAGGCATTGATAAAATTGGAACTGATTATTTTTGGTGTTTCCTGTGGGACACTTAAGTTAAATGTGCCTTTAAAGACACAAACTAGTGACTTACCTTTGAATCTGACCTATGCAATGAAGTAGCAGTCTTAGGCCTTTGGTCCTCAAAGTCAAGTGTGCATCAAACCTCTCAGAACTACAGGGGTCGCCGGGCCCACTCCCAGTGGCTGGTCCAGTTGACCTGGGGGCACCTTGGGAAGGGGCATTCTAGCAGGTTCTCAGCTGCTGACAGTGCTGCTCATGTGGGGCCTGTGCTTTGAGAGCCACTGTTTCAGATACTTTAATTCTCGTGCTCCTGTCTTCTGACTAATGGCAGTCTTCAGGACAAAAGGGATTGTGCCTCTGAGGCACACCTGGCGATAGCTGACCTTGGGTGTGCTCCTGAGTTGGAGAGTCCACTCTGTGAGCTATGGAGGGGCCAGTGGGGATGGAGTCCTGGCCCTGAGTGCACTGAAGCATGACTGGGGATGTTCTCTGAATGCCCTGCGGAGAGGGTATGAGTGGGTGTGGGGTGTGGAAGCCAATGCCAGTGAGGAACGGGTCACACCTTGTGGGCCCCATGCAGCTTTTAATAGTTAAAGGCTCATTCTTGGTATGAAGTGAAAATTATATTTCTTCTTCAAATTGTGATCTGAGTTTCTAGTTTTAAAAAGAGTGCAGCAGCGGTGTCTTGAGCTAGCCCAGGCTGCTGTTAGCGCAGTGTCTTGAGCTGGCCCAGGTGAGCGCAGTGTCTCGAGCTGGCCCAGGCTGCTGTGAGTGCAGCATCTTGAGCTGGCCAGGCTGCTGTGAGCGCAGCGTCTTGAGCT